AAAAAATATGGGCTAGATTATCATTCTCCTTTGCCATATGGGGGAGAATAGAAAATAAATACAGCTCTACTTTTAACTAAATATACTTTGCAGTACACACACCTGTATGCAGATATAAAAATAATCTTGTAATTTATATTTCAGCATCTGTGTTGATCACTGATAGTTTTATGACATAAGTAATAACTGAGAATATGCCTGTGTTAAGAAAGGGCATTAGGTTGTCCTCCAATGTAAATCAGTATTGCTGAAAAAGAACCATAGTATATATTCAAAAGGCTAAGTAATTTTCAGACAATGTTTTTCTTTTATTTGGGAAACTATACAATATGGCCAGAGAATGGAAGTGAGTACCATCATGTTACTTTGAATAAGGAAATCTGTCATGGTCCGGTGGCATCATCTGCAGTAGAGATACACATTCCAGCTATTCTGGTCTGGCTTCATCGAAGAGACATAATAGGAATATAATAGCTTATGTTTAAAATACTAATCTAATATCATTTTAACCTGAATTGAATTATCAAATCATCTTTTTGATAGCTCAATAATAGAACTGCTACTATTCTGGTGAAACAGAGCACCTATATCTCTAACAAAACCCAATTCCTCCCAAGCATATTGAAAACAGTAATTTGACTACTGTAGTAAGACATGAGTTAACTGGTCAATCACCTCACTTGAGCCTTATAAGATCTGCATGCCCAGGAGTGAGAGATTTTTTTGCATAGGTTTTATTCATTGCAATAGAAAACCACACTCACTGATATTTAATAGCAAAATATCTATGTTCAAATGTCAACACAAAATGTAGTATGGCCTTCGTTTACCAGACTGTAAGATGATTAAAATAAAAGGTTCATGACCCATAACACACACCACAGCATTAAAGATCTTAGACTGCTTAGACTGGTGCTTTAAGAAGGACCACTTCATACTTCTTTGCTAATGAGGGATATTCTTAAAGTGAGATCCAGCAAGCATAAGTATAAATAAGAGCTTTGAAAATATTAACACATCATGTTATTTAGGGAGCCAATCACAGAAGTACTTTTATGAGAACAAGAAGGGTCTTTACTTATTGAAATCAATAAAACTCAACTTAAGATGTCTTATTTGTGCTGCTTTTAACTCCTGAAATGTGTTTTTTCCATGGAACAATTTCTTTTCAAAAAATCTAAAATCATATAGCAAGTCTGCAAGAATAGCCCATCCCCCATCCCTACCCCATCCCCAGACCTTCAGACTCCTGCTCTTCTTAGCATGCAGTTTCCCTAGTGCTCTGTTAGGATGATAAAGGACAGAAAAACAGAATCAGGAAGTTTTATACAGGAACATGCCAGCCCAAACTGCCATTCTTCAACAGTCACTCAAGCACCCATTCAAGTCCTCATTTCTCCCTCAAGCCCACAGTTACTCAGTGTATGACCCTGGGAACTGTAGTATCAGCATCACCAGGGAGCTAGTTAGAAATGCAAACGTACGGCCCCACCCCTGAGCAACTGAATCAAACTCTGGGAAAGTGCCCAGCAATTTGTGTTTGAACAAGCACTACAGGAGTCTACAATGTATGCTAAAGTCAGAAAACCAGTCCTCCACAAACTTTAACAACGTGCATGGGAATTACCTGGGGAGCTTGTTAAAATGCAGATTCTAATTCAGTGGATTTAAGGTGGGGCTTGAGAGTCTATAGTTCTAATAAGTTCCCAGGTGATGTCTTTTACAGACCACATTGTAAGAGTTTTGCAAATGGGTTGTTTAGCAAAATTACCCAAGATGCTGTTAAAATATGGATTCCATGGTACTACCCCAGATCAAATTAATCCAAATCTTAAGAGAAAGACCCAGAAGATATCCAGCAGTTCCCTGTTCCAAATACACACTAAAAGTATCTGGGAAGTTTTGAATAATTTTGATTCCTAGGCCCCACTCAAGACCAATGAAATCAGAACCTCTAAGGATAGAATTCAGGCCTCCACATTTTGAGTCACTTGCCAATGATTCTGATGTACAGTCATGGTTGAAAAGGAATGTTCTGGAGTCTAACTCGTTCAACACCTGCAACAGCAGATCCTTTATAGTAGCAAACAGGTTCTTCTAAAATGCCTATCTGAGCTCCCACACAAATAAAAGCGCTTTGATATTTTAATAGTAAAGTATACCTAAAAGTATGTTTTCCTTGGGTCTTGAACCTTATTTCAGGGGTGGAGGAATTTACCTTTTTCAATGGTTGGGTACTCAAAAGCTGGAACAAAAGTGAAGTATTTGCATCTAGGTGGCTTTTCATACAATGACCTCTTTCCCAAGCCTGAAACAGATCAGTGCAATTGCTAATAAACTTTCAGACTGGCAGGGTAACTGATAAGTAGCTTCTAAGCTTATAAAAGTCAGATTTCACCAGTTACAGGTATTCTGACAGAAAGGTCCAGTGAACAGATAACAACAGTGTGCTTTTACATATGAGAATCTGAAATTGTCTTGAGTATGTCTTCCGGTGGACAGAAAAAAAAGACCTGCAACATTACTGTTCATGACATCCTACGAGTAAGTCGGAGGGGTTTAAAAGCCTATAAGATGCAACACTAATAAGCACACTATAGTATCAAGTGTGTAAAATGGGAAAATGCGTGGTGGTTACCAAGACACTGTGAAATAATCAGTTACTTCACTCCCATGATCAAGAGATTTTCTTGAATTTGACGTACACTTCAAAAATTAGTTTAAGATAGATTAAATTGATATCTAGTCCTTTCACTGAAATGGACTTCCATTCTCTGGTTCATCAGGTTCAGTACCCTCAATAAATTAGTTGGTCTGTATGGCATCAAGGCCTACTAAACCTTAGTAGTTATTATTTTTCCACCGCCATCTCAACAGTCACAGCAGTCAGAAGTGTCTTATTTATTTATTTAATAACTCGAAGTGGAAAGGCAGCAGCTAGGGTATAAGAAGAGAAACCACCCAAAGCTGTGTGCAAAGTGGCCACTGTTAAAATCTTTGCAAAAGCATTTTCTGTATGAACTGGTCAAGCTCATTTTCCTCTTAAGTCTTGTTACAGTCATTCAGCTAACCCAAACCCACTTTAAGATGTGCGAAAATAGCACCTCCTGAAAGTGTATTCTCATATGCTTTGGAGCAATGGAGCATGAATGCTAAAACAGCCTTTGCCAAACTCATGTAGAAGCTCAAGAACTAAACAGGAGTAAATTTTACAATCCCATGACTTTACAGAGCCAACCTAAGTATCATCCCAGGTCCAGCTTTACTACATCACAATCATCCACGAGAAGGCAGAAAAGTCACAAATATGTGACTCATGCTAATAAATCATTCATCTGTATGTTTTTACATGGCCATCTTTTCAAAATGAATTTTACTTAACCAAAAAATAGGGCAAATAAAAGTGTAGGCTTAGGATTTGCACTCAGAATTAACACTATGAAATTTACAAAGGTAAATTAATGGACTTAATTGACTTGACAGTGTTCACCTAGATGGCTTTTCATCCCTTTCTCATTTAACTAATGCCCAACATGAACCAGATCTAAAGAAAATGCACAGACCACAGTGGAGTCATACAAAATTAAAGACATTTAAAGAATCAAAGCAAAGAAAACAAACAATACAAATGCACCATTTCCAGGACACTTTATTTAATTTTCACTTTACATATTAATTTAATTTTTCGTATAGTCAGAAGTGTTTATAATTATCCAGCAGCAGTTCATTCCTCTAATCTCACAAAATGAAAAGCAGCAAGTTAAAAAGAACATCAATTCAGTTATTTATGATATGGGAAACAAGGGGCCCTTAAGGAGAAGGGGGAGTGATGCATTTCAGTATGAGTTTACCGAGATGTTTCTCTATTATTTTTTTGTGCAGGCTAGTACTCATAATAAAAACAATCTTCCTTTTTCCCATTCTGCCTTCTTTTGGTCTTTACATTCTGTCTAGCATTTAACTCAGAAAGTCAGTTTACACTCAGTTTACACATTTTAAAAGAAAAACCATATGCCCCATCTCCCACACATCCAAATGGACAGAGATTAGAAGTAACCTGGCTTTTAGCTTGTAACAGTGCCATTTTAAACAATTTCAACCACATACTTGAAGGGTAAAATAATGTAGAGTACAAAAACCAAAGGAAATCGTAAAAATGCCTACACATTTACTGGATTATTTAACTAGTTCTCAAATCGTTGAGCATAACACAGATTGCTTAAAAGTGAAATCGGCACAAAAGCGAAGGCACGCTTAATGTACAAATTGACAGTGCCTCTTTGGGGCAACTCTCTTTGAATCTGCTATACCTAGACACTGGAACGAAGGGGGTGGGGGGGGGAGTCTCACTCTTCAATGTGAGGAAGTCGGCGGTGCGCTCGCTTCACTAGAAACACATCTTAATGGGTATGTTCGGATAAAAATAGGCAGTAAGGCAAAAAGTGTTTTAAGAAACGTCTCCCCTCCCTAAGGCATAGGGAAACCTCCTCGGAGCTCGCGAGCCAAGTTCCATCACTAGCAGAATAGAAGTTAGATCGTTGCTATTTTTCACCCAGCAATGGGATAGTAGCTCTCCATGTGCAAGGTACGCGGGGCGGGAATACTGGCGGGGCTTTCACGTGGGGGAATGGCGAGCAAAGTGAGAGGTCGGTACCGAGACCGATCCAGATCTCCAAAAGCCCAGGCGGGATGGAGGGTGAGGGGTGGCAGGGAGCGAAGGAAAGGGTCAAACTCCTGGAAGTTAGCGCAAAGAGGAAGCAGAGCGGTCTGGAAGGCCGGGGGCCATGTCTGGCAGCAGACCCCCACTCCAGGAGTGGGGTGCCGGCCTCGGTGAGCAGAGGAGCGCCCAGAGCCCCCGGGGTCGGGCAGCTCTGGGGACCCGCGCGGCGAGAGGGGCTGAGGGGCACCCGCGAGCAGGAGGCGGAGGACTTGCACTTTGCCTCAACTCTGAGTCCCATCCCGAGCCCGGGGGAGAGGGCGACGGGGAGCGCGGTACTCACTAGGGCTCGTTGGTGAAGCGGGGGGTCCGGGGCTGCTGGTATCCGTACAGGTGACAGTAGAGCACATCGAAGCAAAAGCAGCACATCTCCGCTGACACCACCATCTTCCGGGAGCCAGGGGATGAGGACGAGGAGGACGGCGAGGAGGCGGTGGCGGCGGCCGGAGTAGAAAGTAGGGTTCCCACTCCGCAGCTGAGAGGTGGCGACAGCGAGATACCCCCGCCGCCGCCGCCGCAGCCCTGGGGGGGAGAGAGGGTACAGCCGCCGCCGCCGCCGCTCAGCCCGCCCAGCCCGTTGAACCGCGTCCCGGCGCCTCCTAGTCCCAGCTCTCCGGCTCGGCACTGGCTCTCCCCGCTGCAGTGGGAGGAGGAGGAGGCGCCACCACCGCCGCCCGAGCCGGAGGGGGGCGAACTGGACAGTTTCTGCTTCTTCACCCCACAGCAACCCGCCGCCATCTTGGAACAGTCTCCCCCACGCAGCGCTTCCGACCCATAAGTGAGGCGAGCT